GGTTTAAATGAATGTTTATATCCTGCCCCTAGACATAACTAACGTTTGATTCCAATTTCTAATAACTTGCTTTAATTAGATTTTTACTCATTCTTGAAATAAATTTTTTAAATTGGATATTAAGTAGAGATGGACAGGAAATGTGGTTAAGACATGCAGCAAAGGTCAAGGGTCAGGCTTGAACCCAGCTGCTCACACACTGAACTAAAGCAGCAGCCTGAAATGAAACAAACGTCTCTGTTCTGACAGTGTAAGGTTACTAAAAGACATGTCCAGGATAAATAGTGTTTGGGAATCAGACACCAGATCTAACAGGAGCCGCAGAGAGCAAGCTTCAGTAACCTCTGTGTATTCCTGAAGTGTAAAATGATAAACAAATAATAAATTGACAAGTTTAAACACACAGGTATTTACAATTCTGGCATGTGTGAGTCTTCTTTATGATATATGCTGATCTGTTGTTTATTGTATCTGCTCCTGCAGTTATGGTGGGATGTTGTCAGTTTATATGAGAATCAAATATCCAAACATAGTGGCTGGAGCTCTGGCCGCCAGCGCCCCCATCCTGTCCACTGCCGGCCTGGGAGACTCCAGGCAGTTTTTCCAAGATGTTGCGAGTGTAAGTTTCTTCCTTTCCTTCTCACCCAGCTCGTGACGCCGTATGATTGAGAGGCAAACATGGAAAGACTTTTCTGAATCAACCCACTTTAAAGTGATCTTTAACTAAGCTAAGTATGGACAAACTAACCAAACAGAGCTTTTAAACAGGCCCAGAGTTGTTGTTGAAAAAGGAAGTGAGCCCATGTATTTACTTCATGTATGAGCTTCACACGAGGATTAAATAGCTGTTCCTGCTCACTGCACTCAGCTGAAGACTTTTGCTGACATGCAGAGTTTTTGTGTTTTGTTGTTGTTGTTGTTTTAATGTGTTCGGGCCATGGTCTTACTGGGTTGGACAGAATGAGCCAGAATTAAAGATGAAGAGATTGCAGTCGAAGCACAAGTCAGAATCACTGCACTTCTGCTCTGATACTTGATTATTGGGTTTAATCAAAAGGAACCTGTGTTGCTTCCATTATTTACTTATATGAACAGTGCACTGCCTGAAACTCATCCCAGGCTCTATAGTAACCACTGCATTTTCCTCTGATGTTGGAGCTGGCATCGAGTTCATTGTGTTTCAGTAATAAAGCTGACGAAGAAAGGAGAAGCACAGTTTGTATTGTATTGTGAAGACGGAGTAATATGCCACCTGCTGGTACTTGCTGAGTGACCTCAGGGCTAAAGAACCCCTGATTTACAGACAAGCCTCCA